AGGAACTGATACACAGCTGTAAAGCACAACTGAGTCTGCTTGACACTAAACACTGTGTTGAGCCCAGATACACAGACTGTGATACATTGAAAACTCTAAAATAAGCTAAGGTGTCCTGAAAAAGAATTTTCATTAACACAGTGCTGTGAAATCTTCACTTCTAGTGTCAAAGAGTCAATATTTTTGACACTGTATTTTGAGAATACAAATATTTGCTGTGAGTTGGTGTTCATGAGTGACACATCAAACTTCACTACGTATCATTACTTCCTTCTTCCCAAGAAAAGTTAAGTCAGAGATATGTTCTTTTTTTCCCCCAACTTCATGCTCATGAAAGGGATATAACATCATAAAAACAATTTGCTTCTTCAAAACTCAAGCAGTCCAGAAAGAAGTGAGAATGAGGATGGTATTAAGTTAAGTTATGCCTCCTAACTGCCAGGGTTTACTATTAGAAAAAAATAAAGCAACAAAGCTGCTTAAAGCAACAACCATAAGAAAGAAACAGAATGATTACTCTCTACATTCATATTCAATGTCAGAAATCGGTTCTGAAAAAACATCAACATAATTTTAAAACTACTTAAAATAATTTATTTAAAATAAGTAAACAAACTGTTTCTCTGCGCATCACACTTCTTATAGCATGAAAGTTAAGACATTTCTTACCTTTCCCTGGGCTTTGCCTCAGTTACAGAGTTTCCCAACCTAAGCTTCCAATTACACTGCAAAACAGAATTACTGGCTAGATACCTGGGCTTGACCAAACTGTTTGGCAGAGGATTGACAGCAGGAATCAAAAGACAAAGGCAAACTTTCCATTCCCTTCATCCTCCTCCTGATTAGAGACTGAATCAATCCTCAAATTTAATTTACAGAAAACTAAGAACTGATGTAAATTGTATTGCCTGGAGATCACCACAGCACTGAATCTCACCATGCTTATGTTCTCTCACCTGGAAGTTGTTTGTGCTATGGACAGGCTGAGAAGGGATGGCACAAAGCCACAATCTTGTGTCATGTTACATTGCTTCAGGATTACTTGTCCTGTAAGGGCAGTTTTTACCTCCATGCACCAAATAGGCACCATTAAAATAAGAACCAAAACTTATCTTTAGAATAATTTTAATGGAAATTATACTGCATACCTCGGAAACTGCTGCTATAATGCAAGTTTGCGAGGAGAAAGAGAACAGAAGAAAAAAGCCAACACAGGATTGAAATTTAAGTATGTTAGCTCAGATTAACACCTATTTTCTCCAAGTGTGCTAGAGCGTGGTAGACAGCACACAAACTGAGTTGAGGTTGTAGAAAGCATTAAGGTGGCAGGCAGTAGTTAGTATTGCAGTTTTGGGTATGTGCTCCACACAGACATGAAACCACAGAAGACAATACCGAAGGCTTAAAATTATGTCACTGAAACCTCAAATTAATAAAAAAATTCTGTCTTCAAGGGCTGTAACAGATGGTAACAACTTTAAAGCTGGCATGTGTTCTCTTTTATGACAAGTCCATTGTTTAAAACACCACTAAACTAGAAACTCTGTGCATCTAGGTAGCTCTACCCACACACAGAGTTATTTAATACTGCAGTTTCAGAGTTTGTTTTATGTTACAGCTTATAACATTCAGGTGTGGACTGCAAAATCATAAACAGTGCACTAAGGTAGAAAATAAATAGCTAATTAAGCAAAAATGGGCCTTTATTGACAATGTTTTTAATTTTGCTTAGCCAAGTTTTCGTCCATGAGTTTATTAAACATCGAAAATACTAAAGCCCAGTTTGCTGAAGACAGTATAAAGACTCCTCTTCCTGAAGAATCTTGCAAGGGAAGTTTTACAAATTGGTAATTCTTTGGCAGTTCTGATGTTTTTTATTTTACCTGAATAACCACAGTAAAACCCTGACTAACACTGAGAACCAGGAAAATGGTGCTTCTATGGTAAATATGAATTCGTATGTGCTATTAAAGAAGAAAGTGACTTAACAAATCAAAAGACTAAATTTCTCACATCTCTTTGTACACCCTCCAACTATCAACCCACTCCTCCTGCCAGTACACAGTACAAAGCAAATACCGCTGAAATCTATGCTTTTAATAGGCTAATAGACTGTTACCATTCTGGATACTGGTTTGAAGCTATCCAGCTTCTGCCTGGAAAATTCATCTACACTGTCTCCTGCCACAAGCAGGAAAAAAAATAGCTAAGCAATGAGATAGCTAGAGAATACAGCATCAGTTAGTCCTGATTACTGCAACAGTTATCAAAATTTTCCAATTTACAAACCTGTGCAAAAATTTCCATATCCTCTTTTTAATTCAAACACTCTTTACTCAAATACCAAACCCAGTATTACTAAATGAACTGGCTTAAGTTTCTTCTGAAATGCTGACATAAAAGCCACTGGAGAACCACAGAAATGCAAAATTTTACTTACTTGAGAATATGCAAATTATAGCCAAATAAATAATAACAAGGTACAATGAGCTTCGTACCTGAAATTCAGTATTTATAAAGCTAGTGGATCTGTGAAAACAGACGATTAGAAGCCTCTAACATGAAAATGTTTTGAGGACAAAAACAAGATGCAGATTAATTTCTCCTCCCTCTTCACAAGGATCTAGCATATTTTCCTTCTGCATTCCAGAGCTTACCATAGCATTGCAGCTGTACAAATAATTTTTTTCTGTTTTCTTAACAGGCATTCTGAATTCCTTATTTGTTCTATATTATTAGGTCAGGTAACAGCAGGGATAATGATGCTCCACCCTTTGGCCATGAAAGGAAAAAAGAGTAATTCACTTACCTGGGAAAATAGAAAGGACAGCCAACTGTAATTAAATGCAACCAATCAGGCCTAATTAAAGGAGACTAGACTAAACTGGAGAGTGCTCTTTTACCATCAAGTTTAGATGAACAGCTATACAAGAAACAAATAAGGCCAACTCCTGTGAGGTTTGTCAACTAGTATTTCACCTAACACTCTTCAATATGATATGGATTAAAAAGAGAAGGACTGCTCTAAGGCACTGGAGCCATAGGCTTGTAATTCCATTTAAGCATATAATTATTAAAGCACATTTGCAGAAGATAAAAAGATTAAAGAATCATCTAAAATCTATTGCAAATTTATGTTTTATTTTTACTTAGTTATGTCAACACATCAGAGTCAAAATTAAGAGTTCCACTGTAAAAGGTAAGACAACCTTTTCTGAAAAGTTCACAGTTCAAATAGATGAGATGGAAAAAGCATAAAGAAAAATAATCTCTACTTGATAACATGAAAATGAAGCACCACTCCAAGATCACGGGGAAATAAATTAATTTAACTAAAAACTGAAACTGGATTCCTTGAACTATCCCTTCTTTGTGACATTGCTGCATTTCAGGTTTATTAGCCACATTATGAGACAACAGCTTCTGGAAAACTGACATAAAAATGGACCAAATGTGAAAATACTCTGAACTGCTGCACAATCACACCAAGGTAGCAATTCTCTGAAGACAGAGCTCAAAGCAAAGAACTCAATATATATATTAACTAATAGCCCTCTCCCAATATCGTATGTATTACTGCTCCAGATCTACTTACTGTTTGAGATTCAAGTGAATCGGTAAGATAAGTGAAGCTCAAAAAAAAAGAGTAATTTATCCCAGAATATATCTAGAGTTTCTTTAACAAAAATGTAAGCAAGCATACAAGATCATCTGCTGTAAGAACCTGAGCATCCAAAAAGCACTGTTCTAAGGTTTGGCTGTATCTTCTAGTTATAAGATGAAGCCCTATAACGTAGTTTTTATATTCACCGCAGACGAGTTTTTCAGCATGCATTACAACTGCACATCATTTCAGCAGAACATGCATTCTGTGTTGAAGTAGTCTAGGCACAATCCAAAAAAAACCCCAGTCCTTAAAGAATTGGGTGCTGCTACAATTTTAGAATTTTATGATAATCATTTTTACGCGACACTTATGTTCGCTGCTCCCTTGTTGTTTCCCTCCACTGAAACAACCTTAAAATGAAAAGCATGACATAGTGTAAAATGTTCCTTTCTCCAATGGTCAGAAAATTCAACCTAATAGATACAGGAAGTTAGTAATCATCACATGACACAACTAATTTTTCCTCTCAAGTTATTGCTGATAATTGCAGTGCTCCAAACAGCAAGGCATGCAGAACATTATTTCATACAAAGTGATTATTAATTGTCACATCACTTTAAAATATCATTTGTTAACTAATAATAACTGAAAATTTTATTTTTTTCATAGTTTCTCAAAATATAATAAACCATTCCACCTTTCCCCTAGTACTTGAATATTTCTACTCAACTCCAAGAACTTTCACAATCTCTTTTTCTTTGTTTTGCCCTCTGATAAATACACGTGGACATTTAAAGCCATAAGCATTTGACCATTTTGAAAAGTCAACAGCAAAAAGTTTCTATACAATCATAGTCATTCTGAAAGATATAAAACAAAACAGTGTGGATACTCATGTTGCTTTATTTACAGTTCATTTCCAGAGCCCTTTCAAAAAACCACATTGCTTTCTTGCAAGATTATAATATCATGTATTAGGCAGAAGATGGAAACTTATAGTAACATTTAGAGCAATAGCAAACTTTTGTTTAATACAAAAGCCAAAAAGAATCAAGAAAAAATAATGGGCAAGTTGCTGGGAAAAGCTGTAAGGTAAGTCAATTTTTTAATTAAAAAAAATTGCATACCAGAAAATGTTAATGAGCCAAAAGTCCCCTGAGTTCACTTTTACACATTCTGCACTATTTTGATGTTCCTGCTAAAGAAAACTGAACTGTTCTCACTCAGAACTGAAGACATTCTTTTTTCAATGTCATAGCAAAACCTAAAATCCAGAAGTATCTTATTCATTGTGTTACTTTACTCACTTACTTTAAGCAACTCAGAGTTATCAAACTAGAAGTAGATAAGACAAAGTGATCACAAGTCACAAAGTAAAAAATTTCAACCGTACCTTTAACTTCTTCATAAATGCTATCATCTGTCGGTTCACTGTTCACTTGTCCAACATCATCGTATTCCTCTTCCTCCTCCTCGGGAATAGTATTAGATCCTGTATCTATGTAGCAGCAATTTAAAAGGTTAACACTTAGTAGAAAAGAATACCTAAGCAGACATTTATGCAAAATGAAAACAATTCTTCTATGACCTGCTCCTTACAATATACTCTGCTTATTTTCTTATCCTGTTCAAGGGACAGTTTATATAAGGGAGCTTATATAAGGCAGAGCTTTCAAGCTTTCTAGTATTTCTAGTATTCTTTGAGAAAAGCAAAAATTGTGCAAAAAGAGAAAAGTCATATAAAAGCTACAACACAGTCGAAAACTAGGACTTGCTATTTCAAACTTTGACATGTGTACTAACATGACAGAGAAGTTAATGGACAGAACTACCATCACAAAGCACTACTGCCAATAAAGGCTACTGCTCTACTGGCTGGCTTACCTTGAATTACAAATTTGACTTGCTGTACCCATTCCTCTGCTTCTTTGGGAGTGGCAGCTGTAAACTATTAAACATTTATTAATAACTACTAGCAGTAATGACAAAAACACAACTACAATTTCATTAGCAATAAAAAAGAGGGACTGTAACATTCTCATCACTTCCTCAAGAAACCATTAGTAATTCTTTTCATGTTTTATGGTACTTTTCTTGCAAGGATGCTTCTTATAATGTACAGCTAATTTTGACAAATTTACGTAATTGAAGGAGAGGATGATGGATTTGAAACTCTGATCAGCAGCTGGCAGCTGTGCAGAAAAAAGCTGCTTCTCTTCATCAATGTCAAAGCCAGAACTGATGAACAAAATTTGCCCTTGACAATTAGAAGACACCCATGAATTTCTTTAGACTGCTGGGTACAGTTTTCTTAAAAATGTTCTTGTCAGACTCCAACACACTACCTGACAGCTTAATTAACTGGCTTTCAACCGCAATCTCAGATATTTAAAACTTATTAAACTTACATTCTATATTGATGTCTAGCTGATAGATCTCTGAATTGCACAGCTGATATGTGCCTTTATGTAGATTTTTCTTTAAAAGTCATGACCAATACAATATGTATTTAACACTGATACATATTTTAACTTTTTTTTTTTACTATTTAATTCCTCCAAAAAATCACACAGACACATTATATAATAGATATTAAAATGCTAATATTGAAATGACCAATGGATAAAGATGATAGATTACCTCGCTCTTGACCAAAAAGATAATATTTTAACACGTACATACATATGTTTAATCACGTTTTCTTTCCTAATATATGAATGCACAATATAAGCAAGCAAGGGTTTCCTTTTTTCATTAATATGTCAGTCCAGGTTGTTTTACTGAAATGTTAATTCAGTAACTGGAATTGTAACGGCTTTATCAATTTAATTTCAAGTCAACATAAAAAAGTCCAACCTGATAAATGCGCTTATCAGGAGCAGAGATTTCAAAACAGCAATCTTTCTTTGCATCCTTCCGAAGGCTATTATTCATTCTGATGGTGTAGCCCTCTAAGGCAAATTCACCTTTCTGTTGTTTGTCTGTTGGAGATAAAAAACAAAGTTAGAGCTTCATTTACAACAGTAAATGTAAGTGGCTCAGCAGGTTATCGTTTATTCAGATTTTGGTTTCTATTTCATGAATTTTACAAAGAACAGGGAGGTTTTTAGCAAAATGATTAAGTGATGCTTCTGGAGATAAAGTTTTATTTTAAAGGAAGATGTATATAAAAGTACATTTTCCTGTAGGATGCCTAAGGAATTCCACAGGGGGATGTTTGCAGATGGTGGTCTTATTTAGTAAGAAGTGCATGTTATGACACTTGTGTCTAGGGAAAGCCAAGAACTGGAACTTGCAAGACACGTTTCCTATAAATCAGTGTCTCTTTCAGGTTCAGTAAACCAAAGGGAAAACCTGTCTAACTTAGAACTTGCTGAGCTCCCTCCTAAACTAACCACTTCACTCAAAAAATAAACTTCAAACTCCTTTTTAAGCAATTGGAAAAGCTTCTTTTCACATTCTCCCACCCACTCCCAGATGTGCCTCCTTTCCATATGGCAGAAATACAGAATGAATTTTGTTATAAATTCAGGTGTGTGCATGTGTGTTGGTTCCAAAAGCATTTCTCTCAAAACAGCAAATGTTTAATTAGCTAATAAAAGTACTGAGCCCTACCACAGTTTATTATGTACAGCCATGTGGTTGTTTTAAAGACAATTCTACTTTTCAAAGGCTCTGGTTTATAAAAGTATCACTTACAACAGATCTGAGTTTAAATATACCGCATGTTGGGCAAGCGGCACCTGTGTACTCCTTTTGAGCTCTTCACACCAAACTCCACCTCGGATTTTATGTGCTCTGGCAGATTTTGGTGAATATTAAAAGCAAACCAAAAATGTAAAAGTGATTAAGTTTTGCAATTTCTGCAGATCACAGTGCAGCATTCAAGTGAAGATAGGCATCATGAGTCACATTTTGTGCAGGCAAACAAAGAACAAAGTAGAGTTGCATATGGAAGAAAATGCCATTCAGTGGGTTTATTTTTTTTACACAGTAGAGAAAAGCATTAATTAACAATAAGCATCAGGCACAAGAGCAAAACTGCTCTAAGTATTTCTGAATAGAACTTAGGCAAATCGAGTGTCCATTGCTTACGCTTGTCAACAAAAGGAGAAAATTCTACAGTAGACAAAATAGGGATAACTACAATTTTTGACATAATTTTGTCATATTTCTGGAAATTTAATAGGAAAAAAAATCTTTTTCCACTCCTAAGAGGGCAAAAATTGGCTAACATAGCAATATGAACATCAATGGATGTAAGAGCAGTCACCAGTCAAATACTCTTCCTAGTAATCTTATATGTGCACAGACACAAATCCTTTGTCCTTCCACCTTTTTATGAACTCTCACCCAGGGCAAGTAAATACCAAATAACACAATTATATGAGAAAATCCAGAGCACTGTTCTATTTTCTCTTCTAGTCCCTTCCCCCACAATAGGTTCTATTATGCCTTGAATAAGTCCTAATGATACAGTACTAATATTTTATATTTTCTCAATGGTCCACCCCTATATCAAACAGCACACACATGCAAAATTCATGAAACCACACCAAGGCAGATATTAGAAACAATAACTTGCAATAGGTTAACTAGGTTCCATTTTAATGAAATTCATTTTTGCCTAGGAATTTTATTGTTCCCTCACTTGTGACCTCAGGGAGAAGACCAAGTGAAACACATTAATTTCTCACTCTCCCATGCTGGAGCTTTATCAAAACCAAAAAGATAGGAACACACAGACAGAATAAACAAACACCAGGTTCAAAAGGTAAAAACATTTTGTCAAGATAAAAATTTGGCAAATATTCAAATTTAGTCTCTTGGATTATTTCTGAGACTACTTCTCTGTGACATGGATGATCCCTTTTATAGTAATAGACAGTGAACCTCGGATGATCTCTGCACTGGTACTCATTCTTTCAAAGAGAATTGCAGTTAAACATAAAGATGCCGTACTTTGGAAGGGGATGGTGCATGGTACACATATTCTATTCAATTGTTCTGGCATTTATACTGGTTTTGTCTTACCTCTCTGAACATCCCATTTCAGTGCTAATGAAAATTACCTGTATGCACCACCAAATACATATGTATATGTATCTCCTTTGCTATTAAATTTTTTCACTGACCTTTATAGCAATAGGCTAGTCATAGCATTGCTACTTTTACTTCTAATTGTCTTAGCAGTAATCTCTGATTAAAGTCCAGTGTAGTAATATGCATATACTTAAAATGTTAAAAATGAGGAAATTCTAAGACAATGAGACACTTCACAGCCCTGACTCAGAACCTACTAAAGTTGAAAGACTGTCAGTATGCATTCACACTCCCTGTAGCAGCAAGCCAGATGTAAGACCGAGTATGTCCTGAGAAATGGCTCCACAAATACGGAATGGCAGGGCACAGGCCAGCTGCAGCTCAGCTGCATGCTCTGATGGTGACAAGCAATGAAGGTCTACAAATCCCAGCTGTTCTTGCAGAATACACCTTTCCAGTTAGGATGGGAGACCAACCCCATCAGCTGATCATCATGCAGCAAACCATGACCCAGGGTAGCTGTTTGGCCAGGCACAGTAGTCAGGTGCAGGCTTGAATGAAGGGCCATCTTGGGATCATCAGACTCAACAATCATCTCAACTTTGTTTATTGGCAAAGGCTTGCAGCTAAGTAGTCCTGCAGACAGACTCGCACTTTCAGGTTAAAGCTGCCCTGTGAAGTGAGTGCCACAGTGACTTGTGTGAACTTTCACATGCAGAGTTAAATTGTTTATATCAGAAATATTTTCTGGAGACTGTGCCTTAGGGAGAATTAAACAGTTTTTGATGTTTAAAAACTTTGAAGACTAAAAGATTTTACTTGGAGACTTAAAATTAGATATAATTGGGTTTTATGGCAGGAGCCTTAGAAGTAGCTTCAAGAAGCAATTTACATTACAGAGATTTAATTTTCATTCTGAAGCCCCAAATCAGAGCCAGAATTTTGCTTAGGCAGTAACACAACAGCATACTTAGGAGGAAATAGGAAGACACATGCTAATGGAACATGCTTCTCTGAAGAATGACAACATTTTTGCTGCCTCTTATTCTCCCAAGATAGGGCTTTTCAATTCAACAACAGGAAACCCTTAAGTTGTTCCAGAACAATATAGAACAGAGATGCAAAAAGTATAATAATATCAGTCTTGTAAAAACAAAAAGGATCATGAATACCATCACGCATAAGTTATTCCACAATGAAGCCAAATCTCATTTCAGAGTTCTTTGCTCTCACCCCTCATGCTCCTCCTCTCCCCTTCTTCCCATGTCAGGTACACAACAGAAGAATAAATCTAGGTCTGTGATGATCATTTGGCAACAGGAATTTAGAATCATAAAGTGGTAGTATAGCAGAGTGGAGAGCCAGAAACTACTGATGAAAAAAGTCAAAACTAAGGTATTTTAGAGAAATAAATATGAGAGGGTTCTATTTAAAATAGTGAAAGTTCAGACCTGAATTAAATTTGAGAGCCACTTTAAACATTTTTCTTACATATAAACTTCATTCATCCAAAAAATGGTTAAATGTTGTTAACAATGGAAATAGGGCCAATATTATATTGGGGAAAGAGAGTCTCAAGGGAGGCAGAGAAAAAGGGTTTTGAAGAAACCTTGTGTAACTAAGTCCATGGGAACTTTTAAAACAAAGAAGGGTAAACCTTCAATGAGATCTTGAAATGACTGGGTTGTAAATTTGAGGCCTAAGGCACTGTGCCCATATTATTAGCACATGTAAAAAGAATTAGTGCATTCTGAAGAACAGAGAGTACTCGGATAGCAGAAAGAAAAGAAGTTGCAGAGGAAGGCATAAGGAACAAAGGCAAACAGAAAGATTTCAGAGAGTGATAAAGTATTTATAGATACTATTAGAATCTATAATTTAACTCTCTTCATCTTGAAATTAGGAGCCTGTAAGATTTTATGGTTTACATGGCTTCATGCTAAATGTAGTTTCACATACTTTTCCATGTGCAGGATGTCTGCTTTCTAAAAATAGTTAAGTGTCAGTATCTCCAAAATGGTAATTCCTTTTCCAGCTTTTGGAACAGTCCTTCCCAAATGCATGCACAGAAGTTCTTCCCTTTTAGACAGCAGATCTGAAATGTAATTGCCTTTTTTTTTTTCTTCTTCTTTCCTTTAATCTGGCCCTCTGAGAAATGGAAATTTAAAAAAAAAAAATTAAGAAATTGAGGCAATGACTGAAACACACTATTTAGGGCACCAATTTGTTTATATTCAGTTTGCTTATACCCAGTAGCTATTTTTTAAATAACACACTATTAATCACAAGTGTGCCTCTTGAGGTCTGAATTTAACAGTCTCATAACAGAAGATCCGGTATACATTAGATAGATGCCTTTGATTGCCATCACTCTGCTACAACAAAGTCCTATTGAGCATGCATAATTTCCTCTTTTGCACAAATAGATGTAGTCCACTACTGGCCTGGCCATCATTATCTTACTATTCAGAGAAATCCAAAATTATCATGTCCGTGTTAAAAGTAAAGAAATTTAAAAAAAAAAAAACTAAGATTTTTCTAAAAGCCTCTGAATCGCACTCCTCTTCAACATCATATTACTGGCAAGCAAGCAGATACCATTTTCAAGTTATAAAAATGAAAATAAATTTTTAGTGCCCATTAACAGGGGAAAAATTACCATAATGTTATCAATTACTGTCTTGCTAAACATTTAGCTGATCCTTCCAGTTTGCTGAGACAGAAGGGCATATAACATTGTGGCCTAGTGAGGAAGAAGTAATGAAGCCATTAATTCATTCATTTATAAAGCAACAAATTAACTTTCCTTCTTCACATGCACTTTGAGGTCTGAAAGGTTATCCATACCATCTCGGTGTCTGAGGACACAGGAACAGCCAGAGATCATACAGAAAAACGACAGGCAATTAGGGTAGTCAACTCAGGGTGCAACTGCATGGAAGAAAAGAAAAGAGAGGACTATAAAAGGTTTATGGAAGGAAAGACTATGAAAAGGAGGACCAGGCAAGCTTCTGGAAATCCTGCTCAGCTTTGACATTTGAACACACTCCTCTGCAATGTTGTGGGCTACAAGCCGGCAAGAGATACTGAGGCACAGGCACAAACACACATGCGCTTCCTGCAATACCTATTCCTGACATGTGATTAGGTCAAACCTTTAAGCCTTTTTCCTCCGTCTACTCCACATACCATTGATCATGAGAAAAAATGTAAGTGATTCGCTTAGACCTGTCTAAGCACAGATAAATAACATTATTTCACTACCCAAGGCTGCACCAAATGTAGGAGAAAATAGAGATAAAAACAAGGAAACAAGACAGACACCAGCCTGCAGGCATCACAACTGTTAAAAGAATGCTTGTAGTCTCTTAGGTGAACAAACACACAGCCATTTACTGTATTTTCACAGGCTTTAGCTTGTACTGTATTCTCCTGGACTAGGCCTCATCCTTCAAACTCTTCCTTACATGTGCTTATGAGCTTTATACACTTCCACACTTCTTGCTTTCCCAATATAAAAAGGAGAATGTTAGAAGAATTAAAAGCATTGTGGAAACAACAAATCTACATAAATAATAAAAAGGCATCATGTAGCCTCACATTTACCATTCAGTTACATTTCCACCGATACTGATGTGCAAAAATCAAACCTTGGCGAACAAATTACACACTGCAGCAGACACAAAATAGCCTTCACAGACTATTCATCTATCAGTCTGGTTATAAAACAGACACAGTGCAAACCAAGCCAAGATGGACCTGGAAGCCCTGCTGCCTCTCAGCTGTATGTCCCACAACACAGAGGCACTAGCACCCATTAAAACCAACACAGGCAGCAGGACTGAGTACACACAGAATCTCTGTTACTCTGAAGCAAGGTTCACCTTGACAAGGGGGAATTTGCTTGTGTTGTGTGAATCAGCCCTGGAACCTGTCAGAAACCAAGGCCCAGCTTATAGAAAACCTCCAGACATTGCACAGGCTAGGGCAGACCAGCATTGTTTATGGACACCATCCCAGGAGTGGCAGCAATCTGCACAATGCCACTCAAACACACACTTCAACACTATTGGTAAGAACCACAATTGGCAAGAACAGACATTGATTTTCTACACAGTCCAAGTTATCTGGCACAGCATCAAGGCTTACAGTAAAAGAAGGACCCAACACAATAGTGTACTATGGCAGGTACCACTGCTGGCCATAAGTTTCAGGTTTCAGTTTCAGGTTGCCAGACCTCCTCACGATTGCCTCATTGCACACATCATCCATGCTGACAATCTGCAGCTAAACCGCATGATAAACTGCAGCACATACGTTTAAAACCATTAGGATGACAGCTCAGTTTCAACAGTAAACTAGTTTCTCGTGGCTGGTATCCAGTTTCTGCACAAAGATAGCAAGTTGCTTCTGCACTGGAACCTTTATATAAGATGGCATCACAGGGCTGAAGAAAGTACCTCTGACCAGTCTAGGAAAAACCTTTTTATTCAAAGGCAAGTTCAGGAGTGATTTAGTCATTCAGTATCCGCAAGATTAAATCATTACACTATGCTGCAATAACAGCACCAGTCACATGGAGGTAGGGTAGAAATTCATGCATCTGATTTGTTTGCTTCCTCCATGAACTACTGTTTGGAGACCAACCATGCCATGCTCTCTACAACTACCTGAAAGGACATTGTAATGAGATAGGGGTCAATCTCTTCTCCCAAGTAACAAGTGACAGGACAAGAGGAAATGGTCTCAAGTTGCACCAGGTTCAGACTGGATATTAGAAACAATTTTTTCACTGAAAGGGTTGTCAATTATGGGAACAGGCTGCCCAGAGAAGTGGTGGAGTTACCGTCCCTGGAGGTATTTAAAAGATATGTAAACATGGCTCTTAGGGACATGGTTTAGTGATGGACTTGGCAGTGCCGGGTTTATGTTTGGACTCAATGATCTTAGAAATGATTCTATGATTCTAAAAAATTTCCATGGGCTATTTGCCCCTCCCATATCCTTACTTTATGGTTAGGAGAACCTTCCTCAAAAAATCTGCATTCTACAAAAGCTGTAAATGTATAAGCCAAACATTTGTATATAGATTCCTAAAGGAAAGAGATCCCACAGAATATCACAATTCCTAACAGGACACCAATCTTTTGAGTGCTAGGGAACATACTTCCATGTATCTTAAATTTCAGCACAGGTATTATAAGTTTCAACACAGATTTCATAATCAGGTTGTTGCAAAAGAAAAAAAAAAAGATAGAAAAACAGCAGGTGGGCAACTTTCCTGCCCTAATTCAAAATCCATATGCTAGAAAGCATAAATAAACTAACGAGCATAGCCACAAGGAAAATATGTTAAAAAAACACAACCTTGTTTTTCTAAAAAATAGCAGATAAAAAATACAAATATTTTAAAATGCAGAAAAATCTTCATGAACTAGCAATATATTCTGAAAAAAAATTGCTGCTTTTAAAGTACTAGGCAACGTATAACTATATATATAAACAAACAGCACATGATCATTTTCCAGTGAAAGAAATAAATCAGTACTGACAAATCAGTGTTATGCCACACCTCCAAAAAAATTTTCAATACAGATCGTTTATGTTTTTGAAGTTTGACCAATCTGTAAATCCTAAGGAAAGAATAAAGAAGAAAATGGAACATTTCACAGATATACTAACAGAACTCTGAAAACAGAATATGATGGGAAACCGTAGCAAAATGAAAACCAGACTTAGAATTAGACTGTTACTTTATTTCTTTTGTTTTTAAAGAGAAGATGAGTTTAAATGAGTTTAAATGAAACAAACTGGAGCAAATTAAATTATTCTTTGAAGGAAAAAAACCACAAAATAACTCAAATATAAGAAAAACAGAAGAAGAAGAAAAAAAAAACTTCAATGGAAAGTTTGCCTGGGAATTTTTTGGGATGATAAAAAAAAGACAGTTGTACTTTTAAAATTTACTCAGATATATTTCTGTATCATTTGCTCTACCCTTAAACACCAAATGCACATGGCAAACAATTTAAAGAATGTTTTGACTGTCAATTTTAAAAATTCAAAGTGATATACAAATATTTATACCAGATTCCAGATTCTTTCTAAACTGGCCATTAAAAGTCACCTTCAGAACTTAGCTTAAGCTTCCACTGCTGGCTTTTAGTTAAATACATTACTTAATTTCTATCTTTTCCAGAACTATATAAAAAGAAACAAGCAACTTCACTATGCACCTTTTGGACTAATATTTTCCTGGATAGAACCATCTCTGAAGAACTCAGAAGTTTTAACTATTACAGGATGTTTTAAAATTAATATACTTTGGAGAGAAAGAACATTTTATGTCTAGTAAAACAGTTGAGTACCATACTATCATACTATCAAGCCAGCTGTTATTGGCACACAAAGTAGCTTTATAAGAAATTTACTCTTGTTTTTCTTCAATTTCTCTGCTTTAGAAAACAAGTACATCATTTACAGGTTCTGAAGAATATTTACACATTTTGAAAATTCACAGCACTGCTTTAGAACTGTTTAAAAGAGAACTTTCTTTTAGAAGTTTCATCTTATTTCTTAAAATGACCTTTGATTTGCAGTTTCCAACTCCACTAAAGTTTTTATATTCTTTTGTGCATTAAAACATAATTTTTATAATAAATATTATAAGTACCTTTGTCACTTCCATAATAGTAGAAGATCGTCTTACTGATAGCACACCAACGCTTCTGCCATTCAAAGCCAAGAAAACTGTGATCTGAAATTAATATAATCTGTGTTATATCAATTTATGTCATTACTGAACACAAATATGCTACTTCTTTACAAGGGTGAGGTAAGAGGGAGGAGGAGTCAGGAAAGACACTAAGGAAAGGAAACAAAATCTGGATATGAAGAAGAGAAATGTATGGCACTGAGAAGGAAATTAGAAATAAAAATTGGTGCTAAGAAAACAAACGGGAATTTGAAATCATATAAAGAGAGAAGTCATGTGTAACATTAAATATAAGGAAATAATGAAAAATTTCCTAAATATTTCCTAGAGTTATTGCAGCATTAAGTGGGTATTAAAGTGACAATATAAGATTTATTGAATCAAGGTAAATATTGACTGAACCAAAGCTGAGATCAATATTTGCCCTCTTGAAGGAAAATAAATCTTGATGTTCACTGAAACATGAAGTCAACATATGGTACTTTTACATAGGTTCCTAATGTTTTCTTCAAAAATACCTGAAAGTGTCTGAATTATGGCTGACAGTGGAGTTTCACTGCATGATTTTGTTAGTCAATAAAGAAACAGGATTTTCTTTTAATACTATGGGAGCAATTATGTGTTATGCTTCTTTTGCATAACAATGCTTGAACACTTCAGCTTCTACTCATTTTATTTATCACTCCTGTATAAAGTTATTCATGTGCATAACTTTAAATACAGGTATATAGACTTCTCAGAAATGAAATATGCACTAACTTTAACGAAGACAGCTAGACTTACCTTTTCTACGTTTTTCCAAGTATCCAGCCTTCAGAACAAACTGAAGATCCTGAGCTGCAACAGGAGGAAACTGATTCCCTGAAAGAAAAACAAATTCTATAAAGCACTGCTTTTCAAGAAAAAATGCTATTGTAGCATTAGTAAAATTATGGATTTTACCCTCTCAATATGCAGGAGCAACATAAGAAGGAAAAAAATTATTCTAATAACTACTATGCCAGAATATTTTAAGTAAAAAAACCCTCTAGCTATCAATGTCAGAGCTGTTGCTACTGTCCTCACTGCTTTAGTAAGGACAAAATACAGCTGTGTAGCAGGCCCTGCAAGTCTCAGAAGGAAAAATATGTAATTAAACATGATACAGCAACTTTGTTTTGAACATGGTCTGTAAAGCAAGTTGGATAATGAAAGCACTAAGTTTTCAAATCTGCAAACAAAATCAAGAGTCACAATTCAACACGATTAAATCAGAAATGTGGCTTTCAATACCAGCTTTGTACAAAAATATCTGGAAGCAACATATAAGGTGAGGACCCTCTATTACATGCCTACAAAAAGGGAAACCAGATGAAGAGATTATAAAAGGTGATGCCTGCTGTTGACAGATATTACCTAATTTGCCATATGACACAAAGGTACTGCCTAGAGGACCTGTAAGGTGATAGTGGATAAACCAAAAACATCACACAGAAGTCTACAAAATTGTTGACTTACAGACACTAATTTTAGACTGTAGAATATGCCTGCATCCACAAAATGATGAACATGGTTTACCTGTGTTTTTTCCATTTTCTCAACACTAATTCGTAGCCAGAAGCATAAGACTGGCCAGTCAACCTTGTCTCAACTTAAAATAAAAATTCAAATATCAGAAATTTGTGTCTTCCATCCTACATCCTTTTCTTCCTGAAAGAGCAGAATCATGATTTAAATGGAACTCCTGGTATTAAGAACAGGAATATGTTGGATGTGTCTAATATTTAACATGTATATAAATATCATACTGCTTACCCCAAGCAAAAAAAAGCAGAATAAAAGGTATTCCTGTGCTGCTGGGTTTTTTAAGTGCATCTGAGCAACACAGTGAAGTTCCTACTACTTATTATCATTAAATATTCATAAGTCACTGTAGATAGGTGGCAAGTTTACAAGGCAGCAATTATTTATCAAAATATATGTAATCTCGTTACATTCTACTAATATAAACATACAAAAAAGGACTGATATCAGCAGATAAACCCTGTGCTAAAAACACAAATTTAAACTATGCAGTTTGGGTTAAAGATCAACTGTCTGACCTCAAACCATGAACACCACCTCTGGAAGGTCAATTTCCTGGATATTTAGGTTGTTTTAGGGTTTTTTTTAATCAGTGTCCACAAATGAATTCCTTTATGGTGGTCTTATTTAAATATAGTTGTAATAGGAAAAATACAAGAAAAAGAGATAGGAGGATGTAGAGAATGCTATTTTTTAAAGTTATGAAAATACTTAAAATGAAAAGGCATTCTTTAAATAATACAACTGGCTCTTTAGACAACAAAATATTTTGTTGGATACCATAAGATAGTGGACGGAATTTTATACAGACAGAATTTGATATTTCCATTTAATTTTTTTATTAATACTACTTTTAAAGATCAGGAGTACACTAACTTCTATTTCAGGTTCTGTGGAATATTGTGTTAAAAATACAAGAGTTATGGTTGCATGTACATGCACTATAAAATGATGCAGCTGGCCCCCCTTGCTTGATAATATGCAATCACTGCGCAACATTAAATGAGAATTTAACACAAAGACAATCACTGGTTGGTATGTGATAGGTTTGATAGTTACTTAAAGGATGATCTAATGATGGTATTATGAGTGGGGGAGGTGAAGAGTTTTACAAATATACATCGTGTGCTGCTTTATATTGGTCATTGGGAGGCATCAGTGTGCAACACTTACAGCTTTACCTCACCCTGTAGGGCTCATTTTAGAACACTGCAACCCCACAGATGTGGAAGACATAAAACCTAATTAAACAAACAAAAAAAAGCAGTTCACTCTTAAATTTAAGAATTTCAACTGCTAGTTTGATCTAATTTTATCCAATATTGTTTGTATCAGTTTGGGTTTTGATGAGGAAGGTTGGCCAGTGACCATTTAGTGAAGAGTCAAATCAAATGGGACAATACAGTCCCAGAGAACCACATCATTTGGGGACTCCTTAATGTTATTCTGTTATCTGAACTGACTACTTCATAGTGGAAAAATTCCACTCTCAGTTTTGCTACTTCTGCTGAGACAAGTCGGGATAAATCTGATTATGGGATTTTATGAAAGCACATTTATTTTGCATAGGGCACTAAAAGCTTGTGAGGAAAGCAACATGCATGAAAAAAAGGCAGCCTTCCACTGTCTGGTGGAAAGAAGTCCTCCTCCCACCCTCAACCCGTAAGGAAGCCAGTTCCTTTTTCTGTTCTTCAAAGGAACTGAGGCAGTAACTCCACAAAAGAAGCTGAAGCTGGCCAGCCCCACTGCCACTCACAGTCTTTAAGTACCTGAAGCAGAAACAGATCACATGCATATTATCATCCTTCTGTCAGAGAAGCCTGGGAACCAAAAAATACGATGGAGCTTTAATGGAAGGGCAAGAGAAACAGACCCAATTGTAATATCCCAAGACACATACAGCTGTATAAGAGAGAAAAAGCATAAATCTGGTTAAATTCCTCCTTTCATTGCCCTGTACCTCCAGAAGGAAAGGGAGGGAGAATAAGTAGTATGAAAAGTATAAAGGAAAGAGAAAGAACCACCTCCTCCCACATTCCCATGAACCACAGGTGTTGCACATATGTGGTGGGAAGAAAGCACAAACACGGATACCCTTGCCCCTGTACTGCAACAAAAACAACCTTGGGAAGAAAGAATAGAGAATGACATCTTCCTTACAGTTATGCCTAGAGTCTAAACTGTGTCATCTGTCCACCTTTCTTCAATTTTTTTCATTCCTTTACTGTCTTGTCCACATCTCAAACATGATTTAGCGTGAACTGCAACCCTAGATGTGGGAACTCCCAGTCGAAAGCTTGGAATTTATGTAGCAGTTGGGTTTTGCAGTTGCTTTCAATCAGAATTGCTTCCCCATTCATTTGAAATAGATCAGGCTTGACACAAATCTCATAAAAAAGTATCACTAAAGCAGTGCTTTTTTATAGTAAAGAAGCATTTGTTTACATTACACCAGCAGCTGAGATCAGAGACTCATTAGTTGACTGCTGCATGAGACTTGGAATAAGGCAGCTCCTTCTATAAAGAATCTGTTTAAGACAGAGAAATACTGCCAAAAAAGATGGCATTACTATTTTATTTAAATAAAGAACCATGAAGCAAATTAAACAACATGCTTCAAATCACATAGTCCTTTAGAGTTCAGAGCTCTGAATTTCCCATGTTATACTCCCATGTATGCGCCAGGATGTCTTCATGACAAGGAGAATTTTCCCCTTCCCTCATGAATGCAGGTGAAATGGCCTGAATTCCAGTTTTCTGTAACTTCACTGGAGACTGTCCAACATAAGAAATTAAATGTAGAGATGCAAGGAGTTTGCATCCTGGGGATGCAAGAGAGAACCTACTGATGCATCTTTCTTGGGTGTGTCGGTGTTTGTTGCCAAGAAACTTACGGTCAAGCTGGGTACTAGGTCAGAGCAAAATTTCTCTCCCAAAATCAGACCAGCAGAGATCACTGCGTCTTTCCACCTACTTCCTAGCCCTGTGTAGTCTGTTTCCAGATATGACTCAAGGATTTAGAAACAAAGATGTTATAAGGCCCGTAGTCTTCCCTAGTTTCTCCTCTGGTACACTGTAGTTTTTGAAGTCAATTTTAAATACCAAAGAGAAAAGTAGCACTCTGAGTCAAGAAGTGTTCTGTGGCTTGCATCTGTGTGAGTTTACATGTGGAGAAAGGTACAACAATTGCTTTTGTGTACTCTTCTGGACCTAATTTCTTCTGTGTCATTGCCCAGACAGTGGTGGGCAAGCACAGAGTTAAGGATACAAGAAAGGTCTCATTTCCATTCCTGAGTTTCTACCTCACAAATAATATTTTGAGCCTTATTCCTTTGATGTGAAGATCAGATCAATACTATCCTATACTTTGGGAGATTATTATCTCGCATCCCAATACACAGTATAAAATAAGAGAGGTCCATCTGCTTTATGTTAAAGGTTTTCCTTCATTCTTGACCACCCACTCACATAAGAATCTCCCATAATAATTTCTCTTCCTATCCTGGTGGGAATTACTCCAATGTACTCCAAATTAAAATCTGCAAGTTATACTCCACATGCATGATGTGTAAAAAAGCCATCAAAGACCAGATCAAAATATTTATGAGTCCTAAACTTTCACGTCTTAGAGAAAAGTATATTATATGTATAATACACCGGATTCTTCCTCTTGGTTCTAGGCACTCTTGCGCCAAGTGAGCAGCTGGCAGTTATTGTAATACTATTTCTGCCAGGCTAAAAATTCCTCCAGTGAAAAGAAAGTGAAATGATCTCATTCAAGCATAAAGTCAGTCCTTCTACTTGACTTCAGAAAAACATTAATGTTATTAATGTAGGTGTACTAATGTACAGGTTCCGCTGCACAAATCCCACAAACACAGAGTACCTTGTGACTTAAGAAAGACTTCCAACTACGGCTTATGGCATGACTACAATTTTTGCAACTTGGTAATCTAACAGTCAAAAGCCTGAATGATGCAATCTTTTTTTTCACTCTGCTGCAACAGTGAACTTGGTCCATTACTTAAAAACAGTTTCATCAGTGTCACTTCACAGCATGAAATTCAATCACTCCACCTGGAATTTTGATTTTTGGAGGACCCAAAGTTGTTAAAATTTCCTTCTGTACACAAAATAAATAAAACAAAACCAGGTTGTATTATTCTGCACTGTCTACCAATAGGAATATTTTTTTACTACTGCAATGTGGGCTAAGGAATACATAAAGCAAGAAATACTTAGAGGTCAATGCATTCCAAAGAAGTGTTTAGCATGCTTATGGGAATTTAAACAGGCAA